CTAATGATCACATCTGATTATTAGAAAATCACCCCGGGATAGTGGTAGAGTGGAGGGTAGACGCACACGGGGGTTATAGAGCACTGCTTTCTTGTAACGTTTATAATGCAGATGTAGTTACAGGATATACATGGAAACAAGCAAAAAGTAATAGTAAGAGCCCTCTCTTAACAGGTCACACAGGCCTCATGGAAGTTAGGGAACAAATGCTCATTCTGCATTACAGCCACGAGGTTGGTGAGCACAGGATTAATCTCTACCCCAGTATTTACAAGAGTTCTCTTAAACCTCTGTCAGCCAGGCTAACAGACAATTTTTGCAGTTTTTAGACCTATTTCCAGATTTCTAGAAATTTAATTTCACTCTCTGTTCAGGTACTGGCTTGAAGTCCAGTTGTCACCGAGATGTTATCAGGCAGTTCTGCCTTCTGGGCAAAGTACTGTGGTACTTGTCCAGGATGTGATCTGAGTCTCAATATATATAATGTATTGAGCCCAAACAGGCTTATTATTTTATTTTATTTTCTTAAATTTATTGGGGTGACATTGGTTAATAAGATTATGTGTTTCAAGTGTAAAATTCTATAATTCTATAATCATTTGTATATTGCCTTGTATGCTCACCACCCAAAGTCAAGTATCCTGTCACCATCACCATATATTTGACTGCATATATTTACCCTCTTCACCCTCCCCAGCCCCCACCAGAGGGTGGTTACCCTCTGATAACCACCATCCAGTTGCCTGTGTCTACGACAATTTTGGGGGGGAAGGGGGATTTCTTTCTTTCTTTTTCTTCCTTCCTTCCTTCCTTCCTTCCTTCAATTCCTTCCCTTTCTTTTTTTCCAAATAGACTTATTTAATTCTTTATTTCTTGGCAGTCTAGGCTCCCGTACCGGATTAAAACTAACCAGTTTACAAATCTTACAAAACAGAACATCTCGCTAAGCTTCAGTGTTCCCTCTGTAAGTGTGGATAATTATAGTGCCTATTTCATGGGTTGCAATTAAAGGGAAATTATACATAGTAGCTAGCACAAAGTCTGCATTTCCTTCACCTCCAGCCTGGGGGTATCTCAATACATGTAATATACACAGGACGATTCTTGGCGCGGGGAGAGTGTGGTAGAGAATATTGCATTCAGTGCAAGAATTTAGTCAGTCAACCATTCTGATTAAGTAGTTACTTTGTGCCAGGCCCTGGGGATACACAGATGAAAAACAACTGACAGCGGTGGGCAGGCACACATGCAAACAAGCATGACGATACAATATGAGAAGTGCAATAGCAGAGGTAGCCTCAAGGTGGTGTGATCCAAATGCTGCCTGGGGCTGTGAAAGAAGGCTTCACATGGAAGCTAATGATCAAGCTGACACGGGGAAAAAAAGTCTCTTGAAAGTCAGATGGGAAATGTGTTCAAGGGAAGTGAGCATCAGAGTTAAACGCACAGTGGCTTGATCTAAGTGGCAAGATAGATAGTGATCGAGAGCTTAAGTGCTGATATCAGAGAGACCCTGGATTTCAACCTCCGCACTAAGACATACGAACTTAGTCGCTATGAACCAGTTTCTTAACCTCTCTAAGCCTCAGTCATAAAATAGATATAATAATAGTACTTGCTCCAAAGGGTTGCTTTCATAATTAAATGAGACAATGCACACAAAGCACTTCGTACACAGTATATTACTATAATAGCGAATGTTTATTGAGCTCTTTCTCAATAAATGGTCTGTATTATTATTATCTGGGAAATGAGGTGTGTCTTGCTAATGAGACTGTGTTTTATCCATTAGCAGGAAAGAGCTCTGGAAGAGTTTAAGCAAGGAAGTGAGCTAATGATCATATCTGATTATTAGAAACTCACCCCGGGATAGTGGTAGAGTGGAGGGTGGGCTGTGAGGCAGGGAGGCTACAGGCATGATGATTATTAAAGAGGCCACAGAGGCAAGGGGCACCAACGATGTATTTGGGCAATAGTAAGTGGGAAGAAAAGAAAGAAGACCAACCCCAGTGGTACTTGGGCAAACAATCAAGAGGAAATGGTAACCAATGCATGTGGGGCGGGATGTGGTGATGAGAGAGGGTTGGGAGACAACTCCCAGATTTCTGAGAAATAGCAAGAGCAAGTTTGAATGACAAAATGATGAGATCAGCTCTGGTCATGCTGAGGGTGCTCCCAGGACACAGGTCAACTGGCCTGAGGGCCTGAAGTGCAGCAGAAATGCTTAGAGGAGCTATAACTCAAGGACCAGGAATTTATATATGGTGAAAACCTAAGTCATGAAAACCAGCAGAGTGAGAGACTCCTGGGAAACATCAGCATATAAGGGAAGGTGAGAGAAAGAATATCAATCACTGTGGAGAGAAAACGGAAGGAGGAGAGAATGAGAAGCAAGGGGGTACAAAATGCAACAGCAAGACCAAGTGAGATACAGACAGAAAAATGGCCGACAATTTGGCAATGCAGTGTAGGATGACAGTTTAATGAACATGGAAATGAGATTTCCATGAAGTAAGAAGTAAAGAAGAGTTAGGGATAAATATAATCTATTCTTGAGAAAGTGGCTTTGAAGAAATAAAAAAAATACATGACAATAGAGAAGAGATATGGAATCAGAGAAGGACCATTTTAGTTCAATATAAAAGATACGAATATATTTATACTGAGAAGAATGAGCTGATGAAAAAGGAGAACATGTTTATCTTCTGGAATTTTTCTTGAACCTCATCTCATTTCACGTACTCACCCTCAATTCCATTTTCAGTAGCTCGTCATCCTTCAACTCCCAGGCCTCATCTCAGAGGTCCCAGTTTTACTGACCCACTTGAGGCCCAACCCTTACCCATGACACAATCTTGGCAGTGTACCCTTATCCCCACACACCAAAATTTCAGTAAGAGATGCTGCTGGTGCTGCTATATCCCAATCCTGTCCCTTCTTGTCCCTTTGAGACTCCCAGGGTGAACAGTGGTGCGGGGCAGACAATCCTCTTGAGACCACTTGATTCCCGGGTTCCTGACATTCATCTTCCCAGAAGCCACCACGTGTCTGCAGTTGAGCAGTGGTCTGTAGAGTATATACTCTGTACAGGCCGAACTGAGCATCCTCCATAGATCACAAAGGTAAACACACCTCATATGCCTGCCTGTTCACAAATGTTCCAGCCTAGTGCTCTTCCTGTATCTCTACTGCATCCAGACAGAGAAAGGTAGGTTCTTCCAGATTGCATAGCTCTCTGCTCCTGCAGGTCCACAGAGGAATCTGGACAAGCCACCAGAATCCTCCTGCCACAACTAGAGAAGATTAAAACCAGCCTGCACATCCAGTGGGCAGGTGTGGCACAGTGCCCAAAGCATTCCATCTCTGCAAACACATCTAGCCAGACACACCAGCCTTAAACTTCATCTTCAGTTCTCAAGTCCCACTTGGGGCAGAGGCTCTCATGGTGGGTCGTAGAAAGATATGAATATTAGAGAACAATTTTGGATGTGAATATGAGAGTTTCTGTTTCTTATTCTAGATAATAATAAACACAGGGTCATCTGACACCAGATCATGAGTCAAACTGCTCAAGTTACGACTATGCCTGAGGGAATGGGCACGGCAAATGCATTCTCCCTAATGGGGCAGTCTCATGGATTGGGCAAAAGGAAGAAGGTGCTGGGAGACAGATGCTGACTTCACTGCTCATTCTTCCCTTCAGTTATTGCCTCCCCCGAAAGAAGACAGACAACCTCACCGTCACCTGGAAGATCCACATCAACATATCTGTCTCATCTGCCCCTTTCCTCACCATCCCCAGGATCTAGGGAAGCAATAGAATCTGCTACAAGGTATTTTCATACAAGATGGTAGCATCACATATAATACTGCCATCCTGTGTAAGTAGCAGTGCTACAGATCTCACATTTCTGCAGAATACAGGAATATATTCTCCAAGCCCCAAACCAGGACACACACACACACACAGCCATTATCTTGCAGTGAATTTCAACGGCTATTGCTTCCCAGGAAATAAGTTTAGGCAATATTGAGACCCACAGATTCCAGTCAACTGACAGCCAGAAGCACAGAGGGCACGTTTGTGTATCTCTGTCGTACCTCACCCCACCTGTCCCTGCCCCCTGAAGTCTTCATGTTGCACCTTTAAACCTGTACTCACCTCTTATTTTATGAGACCACATACATTTAAGTGGGGATTTCAAGTTCCAGACCAATGCTGTTCAATAGAAATTTCTGTGAATATGTTCTATAACCTCATAGTACAATACAGTAGCCACTAGCCACATATGGCTGCTAAGCAGTTGATATGTGGCTGGTGCAACTGAAGAAATGAATTTTTAATTTTAATTAATTTAAACAGTCACATATGGCTAGGGACTAACATATCGAATAGTGCAGTTTTAAATAATTCCAGGTAAGAAGACTCTAGCACCAGAGTAAAAACTGAGCCTTTCATAAGGGTGAGAGTGAGCTCTCCAGGGGCAAAGGGAAAGGCGCTAGGAAATAGGTGCTGTTTTCACTGTTCAGGCTTCCCATTGGCCATTGTCTCCCTGAATGGAGACACAGCCCCACTGTCACCTAGAAGATCCCTCGTCTGAGTGAAGACAGTGAATATCGAATAAAGATGCATTGGGATGGTCAGAAGCAGCTGAAGATGAACTTTAGAATAAGGCAGGGGCAAGACAGGATCTAGTGAGGTCTTAATAGGGTAGGGGATATGGGATATGGAAATGAAGCAAGAGGTAGGGTAGAGATGGAGGTGGACGAAGAAGATCCCTCCCTGGGGGTTTAGTACCCTTCTCCCTTCTCCCATCACCATGAATGCCAATGGAAGAACCATTAAGTATCTCCTAAAGCAAATCTATTATTCTGCAGAGTAATAAACTGAGGTTCGGAGATTTAACTGAGTTGTCCAGCATCATATATTGAATCTGTAGCAGAATGAGTACCTGATGTCTTCTCCACTCTTAGCCTCATGCGCCCTCCTCTCGCCCCCGCTAAAGGAAGGCAGAGCCGCGGAAGGAAACCTGCAGGTAGACAATGAGCAGGCAGAGGGAGGCCCAGAAGAGGCACCAGCGAAGAGAGAAGAAGTTGTAGCGCGAGCACTCTTGGGCCCTTGGCTTGGAGACACCAGAGAAGGCGTAGGTCGCCTCCTCCTCCAGCAGCTTCTCGCTGGGCTTCCAGTGCACGATGCCCTCGTTGCAGGCCTCGCAGAACTCGCTGCGATGCTGCCCGCTGTCTGGACGGCTGGCCACGTGGATGCGGTACTGGCCGCCGTCCTCGTCGTAGCACTGCTCGCGCAGGCTGGTGATGAGGTTGTCCACCAGATTCTCAATGTTCTCCTCCAGCATGCTCGACTCGTCTATCCGCGCCGTGCCGCACTCGTAGCACAGCTGCTTGAAGATGCGCATGCGCACTGAGCCCATTCGCTGGGTGCGGTCCAGGTGCATGTGGAAGAGGATGACCACGTGGGCCGACTGCCAGGTGTGCCAGCACCAGGAGCAGTGGAACCTGCAGTGATGGAGCAGAAGGATAGAGAAGGTGGGCCTCCCTCCCAGCGGCAGCCTGCTAGGGAGGAGTCCGGAAAAGAAGGGCCCTGTGTACCCGGGTCTTTAAGTGGAAGCAAAGTGTTTACTGCCCCCTGGATACCTTACAGCTCAAGCCGGCCAGCTCCACCTCCTCCTGGTGAACTCCCAGGGGCCTTGAGCAGCCTCCTGCAGGAGCCTGGCTCAGGAGCCATCTGGCTTCCAGCTGTGCTCTCTAGCCTGCCTTCTTTGTCGCCTCCCTTCCTGTAGTCCCAGCTCCCCACAAATCTGATGCACTCAGGACACACACCTGAATGCTAAACAGTGGTCACTCCCCGATGTAGGTTTATTCCTCATCTGTGAAAAGCAAGGTGATGGTGACCAATAAGGATTCTTCTGCTCCGACCTCCCATGACTCTGATAAGGGGTATAACCAACACATCTCACTTACACATTCTGCCTGTTTTGGAGAGAACAGAAGATAGCTCCAACTGTGCCAAGCACAGACCACTGAGAATCCACCAGATGGGCCAGTGAATCAGTGATGGACCAGCAGGGAGAGGACTACAGGGCTTGGTCCCTGCTCCTTCACGAAGAACACTTTCTTCTCTCATGACAAATCATCCCTAGATCCCTCTCCACCCTGCAATTAGAGACTGGAAAAGTGGATCCTGCTCTGCATCTCCCTCCACACATGTGCACTCATGCACACTCTCACACACACAGGCCACCTTGGTAACCCAGGGTCCCTAGAGTCTCAGTCTCAGGGAACATGGAGGGAAGTGGCCTGGGGCTCATCCTGCCTAGCCCCACTCCCTCAGCCCCAATCCAGTGCTTGCACAACTTAAGTGACGGGGCACTCATTACCTCCAGGGCAGTTCTTTCCTGAGATGAACCTCTTACAGGTACCTATTACAGAGGCTTTACAGGCAATCTAGGGCGCACTGGGATGAGTCTGCCCTCACTGATGACCCTCTCTGAGCCCCTTGCATGATGGCCCTAAAGCACTTGATATGTGGCTGGTGTGACTGAGGAAATGACCAGTGATCAGGAACTCAATTCAACTCAACAGACATCACCAAGTACCAAGCACCCCAGGTTGTGGGGTAGAGATGAGGCCAAGCCTGCTCCTGAGTCCTGGAGCCCACGGACAATGTGAGCACAAAATAGTACCCAGCACAACCCAAGGCAGGGTTGGAAGAGAGAGCAGCCTGACTGGGCGCAAGCTAGAAGGGTCCTCCCCATGCTGGCCAGAGCTGTGGGCGACCAAGGTTCATGTGTCCCAAGGCTTAGCGGTAAAGTGAGCCTACACACAGAATAAGCACAGAGCAGCAGTTCTCTAGCTTTGCCTGAGGCCAGCTGGGAGCCACAGGTCACCAGCCAGGAATAGGCCAGCTGAGCCCTGAGGCAAAAGGATCCATGAGTCTGGGTAGCTCAACCCCCAAACTCCTGGGAACTTGCACCTAAGTTTTCAGCCCTTTGCACCCCTCCCACCAGCCAGCTCAGGAGCTTAACATTTTCAGCCTCTTCCTTCCACACCTTTTTAAATCAAGCTGATCTAGAGTTCTTTCCTCTCCTTCAAGTCAGACCTCAGATCTTAAATCTCCAAGTATCAGACCTAGCAGGAGGGGACCTTAAGAATTATCAGCCTTTCATTTTACTGAGACAAAATCGAGAGAAAGAGAACCCTCTGTGCACACACAGCTAGTCAGAGACAGAGCCAGGACCCAGCACATAACAGGTGCCCAACAGATGTCTCTTGAATTGATTTGAATAAAGTAAACCAACCAACCAACCAACCTCTGTCTCTCTGTCTTTTGTCCCAAAGAGAGGTTCCCTCTAATATTTATAAGCTTTGGGGCTAGAGTAGAAATGGAAGCTCCCCACCCAAAGCCTGCCTCCTTCTGTTCCTACCTTCAGCACCATGTTGCACCACAAAGAGTTTCACATACAAATATGTGTGAACAACTTAATCTGTGTGTCCACACCCGCAGAACACAGCCACCTCTTGGCCTGCCAGGTATCTAGGAGTACTGTCTGTCCCTGAGTCAATGGACTCACGGAAGAGGTCTCCCCAGATCCTGGAGATGAGCTTCAGGTAGCTTGGGCAGGGAATTCTGTGGTCTCAATCCCAAATGACAGTCTACAAAAGGGAGAGGCATGTAGGCTTCGGATGGACATGTGTCCTTGGCACTGTGGGAGACTTGCAGCTCCTATAAAGTATGGGACACTGGGCGGTATAGATCTACCCAAAGCTAAGTCTTTTTGTCACAGACCCACAGATAATAGAGCTGGAAGAGACTTGACTGAGCCACTGGTTTTGCAAATGTGAAAACTGAGACTCAGAGAGGGAAAGTGACTTGCTCAAGTGCACAGAATTAATTTGCTGTAGAGCTAGTTTTTAGAAAATAATAGGTTGACAATAAATGTTTTCACATTTACATCAAATTGGACTGAGCTGACTGAACAGACCTAGGACCAGAGCATAGTCCCCCATCCCAAAACTAAAGCTTTCCCTAGTGGACCTTAGGGCCTCCTCCCCTAAGTTCCCACTACTCTTTAAGAGGTTATGAAAATAGAAAACATTTTAGATGTTGGAGATTGCAGAAGATTGAAGATAATTACAGCTCTTCATTTACCATGGTAAATCAAGACCCAAAGACAGAACACAGCTTTCCGGGGTCACCCAACGAGTCAGTGGTACAGCTGAGATTAGAATCAAGGCCTTTTCAATCCACCTGGCAGGATCTTCTCTGCCTTTTACCCTGAGCTGACACCAGGAAGGGGCTCCACATGTCTCTCTGCCTCCCTTTGGAAGGTGCCCAGGCCTGTGCTCCAGGGGCTGCCTGCAGGGCCTTCCTCCCCAGACCTCTCACCTGCCTGAGGCATGCTGCTCCAGATACTGCTTCCAGCCTGGGGCCAGCTCATTGGGCTTGAGGTTGGGGTCTATGATGAGTTCCCAGCTATCAGATGGCTTTGCCACCTCCATCTTTTCATAGAAGACTTTCTTCCATTCGCAAGTGGTCAGACTGGTAGACATGGCTCTGTTGGAAGGGGTGGAGGTTTGAGCTCCACCTGAGTGAGAACACAGAAAGAGCCCAGGTAGGTTCAGGGCAGTTTGGTCTCTGCAGTCTGAAAATCTTCATCTACAGGATCAGGAAGAAACAGGACCCAGCAACATCGTTTGTCACCCTGGAGCTTGTTACCATGGCAGCTGCGCCGGGTGCCAAGAACCAGGGCTGAGGATGAGGGAAGTCCCAAAGGAGAGTTTCAGGGCCCTGAGCTGAGCTTGAGAGGAAGGGCTGGGTGGCAACACCGGCTAAATGAAGTAATCAAGGTGGGAGGCTCAGCTCAGACCACACTCACCCTGGCCTGCAGGAGACTCCAGAAAGCAAGGACAATTTGGTGGCCCTGCTTCACCCTATTGCTTTTCCAGGCATCTTCACATCATGTTCTGTGGTAACTGTGTTACCTACCCTAGGGAGCCAAAGAGATGCAAGGGTGGGGAGATGCAGAGCCTGCAGCTCCCACAACCCCTGATGGGCTAGGACTAGCGTTTATCATGTGCCAGGCATTAGTCACTTGCCCCGTGTGCTGTCTAAGGAAGGGATTAGATCCCCCTTTATCTAGATCAAGAAACCGAGGTTTACACAGCTGCACGGGGCTCATCTAAGACTCGGATCCAGGCCTTCTGAAATTAAGCACAGTTGTTCTTTTATTGCAGTACTGTTGATCTCCTAACACATAGATAGGGACTAAGAGGAGTAATGTGGTCTCTTTGCTCAAGGAATCTCAGACCAGTGGAATGTAATTTAACATGCTGTGAAAAGCACAGTAATAACATTTTAGATTCATAGAGTCATAGAATTGTTAAAACTCATTTGCTTCCTGGTCCCAGGCCATGCTAAGGCACCTGCTGGAGGGACATTTGTTCTATGCTGCAGGGTCCTGCTGCTTCAGCTGCTGCTGGAAGGGGCCTGGCAGGAGGGTACCCAGCAGCTTCCTGATGCCCAATTTAAATGTTTTAGAGACTAGGAGGGAACGTGATGCCAAATTTGCATAACCCAAATGAAAGCACAGTCACTAGAGCAAGGGAGGCATCCGCAGCAGAGAAGAAGACCAGGTGATTTGGCAGCTTGTTGTTCTACCTCTGCTGCAACTTGTATGTGGCCTTAGAATCCAGTCACTTCCCTCAGTAGTCATCGGTCTTCTCACCTGCACAGAGAAAGCTGTGCTAGATAGCATCTGCATTTAAGGCCTCCTCCAGCTGCAATCATCTTATGGCTCTTTAACCTGGAAATCGATCCCTAGACATTTGGAGGCATAGAGTGAAGAGCATGCAGAATTGAAAAGGGTTTCTGGGAATTAGGACAGTTTTCATTGCTGAGTTCCAGACTCGGTACTTGCCTCCAAGAGTTTATTGCATGGGGTGAGGTTGGGGATAACACCATTGGATTTTCTCTGGGAATGAGGAAGTGTTTTCCACTAGCATTGTGCTAAAGGCCTCAGAAAGGACAAAACTATGTCTTAGAGCCCTTGACCAAGAGCTTTAGAAGGGATCTTTTATTTTTTTAAAATCTGGCTTTTTTATTGTACTCTCCATCTCTTTACTCTCTTTACATTGAAATAAGAACATCCGAAGCTCAGAAATTGGAAGTGACTTGGCCAAAGCTTCAGGACTGGTCTGCTCACGTCTTTCTGGGGGCCCTTTCAGCAGTCAGCTACCAGTGCAAGTGAGATGGGGGAACCCAGGAATGGAATGAATTGAGGAGATTATGGCTCAGCCTAGAGCTGCATGCCAGGAGTGAATCTCTGAGAAATAATGTTTCATTGCTCCCGGAACAAATGATAAAAAACTAAAAACAAAAAGATAGAGGGTGAGAATTGTCAGAGCTTATCTGTTTGTTTTTGCCCAAATAATGCAACCCCTTTAGGCCTCGTATTAGGTTTAATTTAGAGTGGGAGCCCTCTAAGCAGAAACCAATATAATTTATCTTTGTACAGCAGCCCTAATTTCTCTCAAGGAAAAAAAAAAAAAACTTGCTTGTGATGCAAACAATGAACACAGTTAATACCTTAATTTTCTGCAAACGTCACTGGGTTGCTCCACAAGTTACAATTTAAGAGCTCACTAAGATATAAATGTGAACAGCTGTCGCCACATCACACACTGGCAGCTTCATTATACATCGTTGCCATATTTTTAAGCTAGGTAATACTTATTAAAATAAAGGAATTTGTATTCCTTTATAAAATAAAATACTATTCACCTGTAATTTGCAAACAAACTTGGCAAAGGGGAGGTGATAAAAGAACTAGTCTCCTCTCCAATATGGAATGTGGCTTAATAAATACTTTTGTAAAATATTCATTACTTAAATGTTACTTATTAGAATAGCACAAGGGATGTCAATGTGGAGCCTAAAATATAAAAGTAATGAAAAGTTGGGGGTGAGTAGCTATATGTATCCTCATCCCAGAAATTTCAAAATATGGTCTTGAAGCGGGTACGCAATAGCCCCTACACCCACTGCGGTCCTGGGAAGAACTAGCCATGGTTACTAATGGGAATATGTTGTCCCACAGGCATTTTGGGGCCAAAAAAGAAAAAAAAAAAAAAGGAGAAGAAGGTTAAGTAAAACTGAATTAGTGGTTCAGGATTTCCCGGGGAATGCAAGCTATGTCCTGTCTTCCTATTTCTCCACAGTTCAAAGAACCATGGAATGTGCTGCAGGGCAAATCCTAGGTCCCAGGGAATCTTTCTCAAGAGCAGATAGGAAGGCTTCTCATCTCCAGGATGCAGTGCTGGGAGGCAGCATGGTCTAAGCTCCAGGCTTTGGGGCTGGGGGTGACTTCTGAGTCTGGGGGATGCTCACATGGCCAGAATAGTTCCCAGCTCCCACACAGTGTGTGCAGGAAACAAACAACTTTCGAGGAAGATTTCATGCTGCTCTTTCATCACTTGGCAGCAACCAGAACAACTGCAGGCGGGCACAATCTTATTCCTACTGGTATTCAAGGGTCTAAAACCTATGGGGCATTCTTTAGGCACCCCAAAGTCTGTATTAAGGGAGCTTTTTTCAGAGCTTTAATATCCTAGGCAGAGCTTTGGTGAAGAATAGTCAAACTATCTATGGGAAGTACATAAGTAAAAAGAGTGGGGTGAGAGCAGGGAGCACTCCCAGCAAGAAAAAGAGGATGAGATTGAGTGAGTGAGTTAGTGGTTCAGTAAGGAAGAATATAAAATTCTCTGCCTACAAGAGACAGTCAAGCTCAGAGGGATGGAGATACTTTCAGCATACTTTGAAAAGACATATTTTTTAAATCATAGGTTCATACTGATATTCTCCAATGGTGTTTTGATATTACTTTATTACAGGATTATTTCTATCCCAACTATAATTTCAACTCTTTCTTCTATAAAATGATGCTACAAATTAATTGAACTAATATAAATAATTGTGTATTGTCTGTCAATAAAAAGTTCAAAATGACAGTACAACTATTAACACTGACTGTAAAAACACTAGATAATTAATAATTAGTTTTATCACTACCTTTTTTGTATGTCACTTTATTCCAAGTTACAAGTAATAAGTCATTTATGCTCTGGTGTTTTAATCTCTTATAAATTATGTTGTATACTTTAGTTTCATTTATTCCTTCAACATTTAACAGGTATTTATTGAGTACTTGATATGTGTCTAGATTCTTTCTAGGTGTTGGGGATAAGACAGTGGAAAACAGACAAAAATCCCTGCCTTCACAGTGCTACATTCTCCTGGAAGGAGATCAGCAATAAAAGTAATAAATACAAAGTAGTTTTTAAAAAATCAACAGGAAAGGGAGCTAGAGAATGTGTGGATGGAGGAGAGTGGGGAAGGGCTACATTTTAGACAGTATGGAAGGGAAAGGCCTCAGATGAAAGTGACATTTGAGAAAAACACAAAGGAGATGAGGAAGGAGTTGTGCAAACATGAAGAACAGCATTCTAGTCGGAGGCAACAGCAAGTGCAAAATCTCTGAGGCTCCTGAAACAAATTACTACAAACGCGGTAGCTTAAAACAACAGAAATGTATTCTTTCACAGTTCTGGAGGCCCAGAGTCTGAAATCAGTAGCATTGAGTCAAAACCAAAGTGTTGGCAAGGCCACACTCCTTCTGAAAGCCCTAGAGAAGAATTTATTCTTTGGCTGGTGGCCACATCACTCCTAGCTTCAAGGCCAGCATCTTGAAATCTTTGCTCTGTCTTTACATCTTCTTCTCCTCTGTGTCTAGTAGAATTTCCCTCAGCCTCCCTCTTATGTACGTGATTGCATTTAAGGCCCACTGGATAATCTAGGAAAATCTCCCCATCCCAAGATTTTTAACTCGATCACATCTGCCACATCCTCTGTACAATCTTTGATATTCACTCAGTGCTATGCACATGCACATCCCATAATTTCACAGACATGTCATATAGGGTAACATTTACAGTTTCCAGGAATTAGGTTGTGACAATCTGGGGGGTGGGGGCATCTTTCAGCCTACCACAGCCCTTCAGTGCGAACGTACCTTATGGGTCCAAGGAACGATGAGAAAGCCAGTGTGTCTGGAGCTGAGATAGCCGGTTAGGAGAGTGGGAAGAGATGAAAGACTGCACATGAGGGGAGAGCCAGATCTCGCAGGGCCTGCTGGGCCATTAATGTGACTTGGTAAGAACTTTCTGAGCAGCAGAGTGATATGATGAAACTTAAATTTTAATAGAATTTTACTCACCCAAGTGCCACGCTACAAATCTACAGGAAACAAGTGAGGAGCAGAGGGAAAAATTAGGGGCTATTTTCAGTATAAGAGATTATGTTTTGTCCAGGCTGACAGCACGATGTGGTCAGACTCTCATGTATACATATTTTAACAGGCTGTTCCAAAAAATTGAATGTGGAGTATTGGGGAGGAGGGGAAAGAGAGAGGGATCAAGGATGACACTGAGGTGTTTGTCTTGAGCATCTGACCTGAGTAGCTGAGTGGCCATTATTGAGGGAGGAAGAAGGAGAAGCAGGTTTGTGGGGAGATTAGGAGCACAGTTTGGAGATGTTAAAATTGGAGA